CATGGGCCTGGGGTGGACTATGGGATGGTGACAAATGAGCTGGGGATCTGAATGGCTAGGTAAGTGGTGACGGGTCCCATGCAGTACCTCCTGCTTGTGTCTCGGCGTGGTTTCCTGCTCCAGCTAGTGAGATGCGGGAGGAGGGAAGGAACCAGCAGGGTCAGTACAGCAAACGGGTTAGAGGCACCGCACTGGCCCAGTACGGTGTAGTAGGTAGCCCAGAGGGCTCTCTCCCAGGGAGCAGAGGCCAGGGAAGCTGGTGGACCACCCGTGGGGCAGTAAAGTAGCCAGAAGGGGCAGGGTGGGAGGCAGGGAGCAGGCCCGGGGAGGTGAAGAAGGGGGCCGGGGGACTGGTGGCAAAGCAGGCAGTCACACTCAGTAGAAGGGACTTGCGGGCTCTGGGTATTCATGCCTCTGCGGTCGGCATGTGTGTTCAGGGGCCCGTGCTCCAAGCTGCAACCGCCTGATGGAAACACGCTATACCCGTGTGCACCCATGGCCGTGTGCGTGCATGCTGCCTGCACATCTGGACGCATGCCCCCACTCTAAGAGGGGTCTATAGCTCCGAGTGAATGCATGCTAGTCTGAGGCCGCGTGTGTCCTCACGATGTGTGCACAGGTATGTGGGAAATGCGTGGGGCAGCAGGAGGGGACACACCTGAACCTCATCCTGGTGAAGGCCCACAGGGACGCCCCGTCATGCTCTGGGGAGGAAGGGGGCCATGCGGATGAAGATCACAGTCAAAGGGGCAACTTAAGAGTGGGCAAGAGGAGGCTGGAGTCCTCTAGGGGACAGAGTGCCCCTGTGGGAAAGTAGGACAAAGAGAGCGGAAGGGTGCAGGGTGGGCAGCATGCCTACCACCCACCACCAGGGGATACTGAGGTATTGGGCAAGGTCCTTCCCATGGTGCATCCCATAATGAGGGTGCTCCCCCACAGCCAGGAACACCTCAAGGCCAAGGCCGAGGCGAGATCCAAAATCAGCCTCCTGATCCCAGGTCAGAGGGTCTGAGAAAGCCAGGCTCCTACCTTTAGCTCCTTGATCTTGGTGGGGGTCCTGACCTCTCCTTCCTCGGCCTCTGACCGCCTACCCCCAGACTCGCCATCCTCCTGCTTGTCACCGTCAGGTCCCGTGTCATGGTTCTCACTAACCGAGGCTGGGCGGGAGAACTCCGCTAAAATGGGCAAACATGGCCGGGTGGCCGGGTGAGACCTCTCCCAGGGGGACGGACAGGGAGCCAGTCCTGCCACCCGCCCAACCATGGTTGGAGTGGAGCAGCCCCAACATGTCGGGGATAAGGAGCCAGCACACAGAGAGGGGAGGTAGCCTTGTCCAGGTCACAGAGCGGCCTCCCAGCCCCGGCCCCCACTCCTGACTTCTACAGCCAGTGCCCCAGGTTCGAATCTCAAATCCATCGCTTCTTGGCTGTGTGACCTTGGGTAAGTTACACAATCTCTCTGGGCCTCGGTTTCCTCATCTATAAACAATACCTCCTTCAGACAGCTGGGGGAGGAATGAATAAGCTCATGTGTGTAAATACTTAGAAGAGAGCCTGGCACAGAGCAAGCCAATTCAATCAAGGCTGCTCCACAGGTGTGTTTTTGTTGTGGTTGTGACAGAATACTCGCTTGACCGTTACGTAGCAGTACAGAGCTATTGTGAAATTAGCCTTTACCAGTGACAGCTAAAGTTCTGAGATCTGCAAATAATTTAGCCCCTTTATAAATCAGGGAAAGTTCAAGGGGACTCCGGACATCCTTCTCACCCACTGGCATTCCAAAGTACTTTTCTGAATAGGAGAGAAAGGGATGGAATGACAGGCTTTACACTAGGCACTGGGCACGACCCAGACTGTGCCCATGGATTATGTCTTGGTGGGAAAAAATGGCTGGAAAACACAGAATTAAAATGACCAGAGCACAGATTATCCTTGGGATTGGCCTAGATTAAAAGAGAATAATTAGCCTTTCTATTCATATATATTCACTCTGCCAAGTGCCCGTTTATGCATATTATTTCATTTGATCCACACAAACCTCTGTGTTGATGGCTAGAATGGGAATCCTTATCCTCATTTTACAAAGGACAAATTGAGGCTCCGAGAGGGGGAAGGTCCCACTGATGACCTTTTGGTGAATCAGGACAAAGACCCAGGTCTCCTGGTTTAGAGTCCAGGCTTCTGGTTCTTCCTGGATGAGCCTCGCCAGCTCTAGACCAATCTTTGCTACCCTGCACAATCTGGGCTTCGTTTAGGCCCTGGCATAGTAATGGAAGCTGCAGGGGAGAACAGAGAGACTGTACTTTCCCTTTGCATAAATCCTAGTTCTCAGCCCTGTGCCCCCTCAAGGAGAATAAGGAGCTTCCTCAGCCTCAAATGGACCTTTGCAGAACTGCATGTCTTCCCAACATAGTCAAGGAATCCTGGGACAGGTCTCACCTTCATACTGCAGGGAGAGTATCAGACTCTCCTGATCACCTGGAAAACTCCTACCTATCCTTCAAAAGAGAGTGGCAATGTCACGTTCCAGTGGGAGTAATGCTGTAGGCTGGGCGAGACCGCCGAGAGCTGCCTGGGGGCAACAGTGCTCCTGGGCCACCGGGCCTGCTGCAAATCAACTGGTGAGGTGTCCACCACTTTCAGCGCTCATCCCAGGGAAGCTGGCACGCCCCCACTTCCCTCTAAACACCACCCTTTCCCCCACACCTCCAATTTGGGGCATACCTCCATCAAGGCTGCGGGACATGGTGTACCGTTTGCTGGAGGAACGCTCGAAGAAGGGTGCGGGCCGGTCAATGAGGGCGCTGGCCTGGCGGGTCTGCGCCTGGGTCCTCCCACTGTATCGGAACTTGGAGCCCATCACCAGGAAGCCCTTGGGCGGGGGCTCGGGTGACACCAGCCTGCAGTGGAGGGAGGAGGGGGATTAGACCTACCTTGCCGGGCCCAAGGCTGGACCAGAGCTGGCCTTTCAGCCCACTGTCCCACCAGCTACAACTCGAAGTGACCCACAAAAGGAGAGACTTGGGGAGGGGGGCTTTCCTGGAGTCCCTCCCTCCTAGCTCCTTCTCCTGCTTCCCCCCTCCCGGAGCATACGTGTACACTCCTGGCCTCTGCGCATGCCCTGTGACCCCCACCCCAGGGGCAGGCTCACCGGAAGAATGTGTGGTGCTCTATGCAGACCTTCCACAGTCTCTTGGCTGACCGGTGGTTTGGGAGCTTAAAGCCAATGGTGCTCTCAAACTGCTCATACTGCAAAACCAAGGAGGGTGGGTTAGAAGCAAGGCCTGGGCTCTCTCGCCCCTGGTCCATCCTTTCTGAACCTCTTCTCAGGCATGAGTGACTCTGGCCTGTTTATTCATTTATTCACTCATTTATTCAATAAAGTGGACTGAGCCAGGTCCAGTGCTAAGCAACAGAGACACCATGGTGACCAAGACGGAAGATTCTCAGGGACGGGGAAGGGGTGCTCTGATAATAAATTAGTAAACAAGATCAGTTCAGACACTGATAAGGGGGCATGAAGGGAATGAACAGAGACGTGTGGTGTGACAGAGTATCTGGGCAGGTGCAGGGGTCAGGATCTGTCTTAGAAAGGGTGATCAGGGGATGCCCTCTAACAGGTGATCTCTGGGCAGACATCTGAAGGATGGGAAAGGAACCAGCTATGTGAGAAGGCAGGGAAGAGAATTTCAGGTAAAGGGAACATCAAAAGCAAAAAGCTGGAGGCAGGAAAGAGCTTGGCTCATCCTAGGAAGTCAGGGAAGGCCAAAAGAGCCGAAGCACAGTGTGTGGGGGGCACAGATACGTGCAAGACGCAGCTGGGCCACATGTGGCGTTCGGATAGTAGCCCACGAGCCAGAGAGCTCTTGAAAGGGTTAAGGCAGGAGTGGAAATGGGGGATAGTGATCTGATGGAAGGGACTTTTAAGCTCTCCTTAGCAGTTATGAGAAAAATGGCCTAACATGACAATGGAGGCAGGGGGACCAGGGAGAGGTACCTTATAGAGACGCAGGTGAGAGATGGTGGCGGTTGGTGGCTGGGGCAACGGAGAAAGACAGAAGCGGATGGGTTTGCATTTATTCTAGAGGTACAAACCAACGGACTTTTTGACGGATGAGGTGTGGAGGCTGGACATATGTGTTGTGTGTTTTGGCATGTGTACATACTTGAATACTACATGTAAGCAGATAAATTGACATGGATGGACAGGTATTCACTATCTGTGTAACCTGAATATATGTGGTTATCTTTACACGTGTGCTCCCGTGTGTGTCTCTGTGTGTACTGCCCGTGTGTGTGTGTTGTCTGTGGGTAGGCACACACCTAAGCCATGAAGTCTATGTAGAGAGCCCCAGCCTTACCCAGTCCCCTAGCAACTTCTCCATGTATCCTAAGTAGGAAAAAAACCAGGCTCAGCAGTCAGGATCCTCTCCGTTCTAGCCAATTCCAGGGAGAAGGAGGGGTTCCCAAGGCAGGCTCACCTCCCCAGGCCGGATCTTGATATAAAAGTTACTCCTCTTATAGGAGATCTTGAGAATCTTGGGCCAGGCGAAGCGGTTGATTCTCAGCCGGTCCCGGTAGATGAGCAGGCCATTGGCACAGACTCCTAACATAATGTCGATGCCCTCGGAGTCCTGCATGAGAAGACACCATCGGATGGCAGGCCTAGGGTCCACACCTGCCACGCACCCCGAAACCCCTCCCTGAGCTCTGCTTCTGATGAGCCCTCAGGATGAGGGTCAGAGCCTACACTCTGGGGAGGCCCCTGACCAATCTCACACAGTCATTCAGTCATTCAGTCATTCGTTTTGTCAGCCATTCACCCCGTTCCTCATTTGATCATTCTGTCAATCACTCAATCACCGATTCACTGACAAACATTTAGTGGCACCTATGTGGTGCTAGGCCATGTGCTATGTGCTAAGGATATAGAAATAAATTGAAGCCTATGTCTTGATGAATGGATAAAGAAGATGCGGTGTATATATATACAATGGAATACTACTCAGCCATCAGAAAAAATGAAATCTTGCCATTTGCAACGACATGGATGGAACTAGAGGGTATTACGCTAAGCAAAATAAGTCAATCAGAGAAAGACAATTACCAAATGATTTCACTCATATGTGGAATTTAAGAAACAAAACAGAGGATCATAGGGGAAGGGAGGGAAAAATAAAACAAGATGAAACCAGAGAGGGAGACAAACCGTAAGAGACTCTTAATCATAGGGAACACACTGAGGGTTGCTGGAGGGGAGGGGGGTGGAGGGATGGGGGAATTGGGTGATGGACATTAAGGAGGAGACGTGATGTAATGAGCACTGGGTGTTATATAAGACTGACGACTCACTGAACTCTACTTCTGAAACTAATAATACACTATATGTTAATTAATTGAATTTAAATATTAAAAAACTTGGTTTACAAACTAAATAAATAAAATTACATCATGGTAAAAAAAAAAATAAAGCCTGTGTCTTTCCCTCATGATGCTCCCAATCTAGTGGTGGTACAAACAGGTTCATAATATAATATGAATTTAGAAAAGTTATAAAGATTATGGGAAGATAAAGGGTGACAGAACTTTGAGGAATGAGAAATATGACTATAAAAGGCTTCAGGTTGGTGGGAACACAGGGTCTGGCGCACCAAGCCCTCTAAAGCACGAGGGACACCCCCCCCAAGATGCTAGGGGGACTCCGGGGCCCAGCAGTACCTTAGCATGGTGCAAGTCTACTCCATACATGGAAAGCTTCTTGGCGTTCTCTAAGAAATGGATTTCTGCTTCTCCTGGAGTCATGCCCCTAAAGGAAAGAACATGATCACAGGCAGCCATGAAAAGGCCCAGGCCTAAGACTTGCTGGCTGAAGGTGGCCATGATCAGAACCTGTGCTTCTAGGAAGGTAAACGTTCTGGAGTAGGCATATGGCTAGGCCTCTCGCAGTCCCTCCCCTCTGCTCTCAGCCCTCACTTCCTTCCACCCAACCCCCTCCTGGTGTCAAAGCTCAGGTCTAGTCCTGTCTCCTCAAGGAAGTATTCAAGGGATGAGCTGGGAGCCGGAATTTCTGCTTCATTCTGCCACAGAATTCAATGTGAGCCATAGATTCTAATTCTCTGTGGCTGCGAAGCCGTCGTGGAAGCCATGGTTCGTTATAATCACCCAGGGGCTCCTAAATGATGACCCACATAAGACATTTCTCTCAGAATTTTCTATCAGAAACCACTTAATCTCCCCCTGAGGAGCAGGTGCACATTCTCCTTTCTGACAAGCGAGTTACGTAATTCATCAAGTTCCTTCTTTGCTTTGGCTGCCGGGGAACCGTACATCTTCCATTTAAGCCACAGCAAACATTTAGTGAGCATGATGTGCTGGTCACAGTTCCAAACCCTTCATGGGCATGAACTCACCGAATCCTCATAACAGTGAGGGTGGTGTAAGGTCGGTGTCCTCATTATTCCCACTTTATAAAGAAACCAGCATGGAGAGGCTGAACGACTCGCCTCAGGCCACACAACTATTCAGTAGCAGAGTCGGGACTTGAATCCAGACAATGTGGCTCCAGAGTATGTGCTCCTTCCCAACCTCTTCCCTTGCATCTGCGTCATATCCCCTGGGCCTCGCGGTCTTCTGCTCTGTCTGCCTCCATGAGTGGCCGCGGGAGATGCCTGGACACTAGGTGTCCATGTGCTTTCAGTCAAAAAGAGCTGTAAAAGCTAAAGGGATGGCCATTGCCTTTCTCCACCCATATACGAGCTTCTTTCTCTGAGTTATTAGGACTCTTACAAATCCCTCCCACATCTTGCTACCTATGGCAGGGATGACAGACAGCAGGCAGGCCATCCCTCCCTATTCCTGAGCCCCAGCCAACAGTGCTAACCAGCCGAATGATTTCAGTGTCCTGCTCAACACAAAACGACAACAGCCGCTGCTAACCAGTCAGAGTTGGTGTGCAAAGTCTCTGAGAGACACACTTGCCCCTGGGGACCTAGCATTCCGTCACACCCCAGCAGGTTCTCTTCCCCCTGTACATGATCCCTCCACATCTGGCCCTCCGCTTCCTCCCCAGGCCCAACCCCCCTCAGGCCTCCCATCCTCATTAGCGATACGATAACTTCACCATACCCACCCCCTCACATGGACACACTTTACAGCTCCTGACGCACTTCACATCATTGGTCACACTGGGTGCCCATAACGACCCTGGACTCAGAGCCCAAAGCACTTCCCACTTGAAGGGATCCTAAAGACCATTTAGTTCCAGGGGAAACCTCCCCCCCAACCCCCCCCACCCCACCCCTGCCCAGGGATGGTACCAACCTCACAGTGGCATTTGGGAATGGGAGAGGGGCATTTTAGTTATGACGATGGCTGAGAGGGTGTTAGGGGCATTTAATGCCTGGAGCCCGGGGATGCCAAACATCCCGCACAATGAATTCTCCTGCCCCAAATACCAACAGCTAAGACAGACGGATCATCTAAATCCGTACATGTGCATGTGAAAAATGGGGCTGACAAGTCAGTCAGCCCTATGATGGCCCATCAGGTTAGTTATCTTCTAACTCCAAGAATACGGTGCTTTCTGTTGCACAATCAACTATTCAACCCCTAAGATCACAGAGCAACAATAAATACGTGGTATCTCTGTACTATGTGCCATGTAGCCCCCAACAGTGCTAAGGCAGGTTCTATTAGCGCCTACACTGAACAGATGAGGAACTGAAATGACCCACCCCGATCCCCTGGTTAGAAAGTGGCAGAGCCAAGAATGTGAACCCAGGCAGTCCGGCTTCAGAGGGCAAACTTTTAAGTTTTACACCAAGACCGAGACAGCTAGTGACTACCATTTCCATTTGTTAGAGACCCAGTGGGCTGAGATGATTGGCTCTCAGATGCACCTCCGGTCCGGTCAGGGCCAGAGTCAGGTGGGGCGCTTACAGCCCAGCACCTGGGGCCCTAGTCGACAGCTGAGAAGCCAGGGGAGGCCCTGGGCAGAGGCCCCTCACCTGTACGTCTTGTGCAGCTCCATGATCCTCTCCTCCAGTTCCCGGGTCTGGTTGGGGGCGAAGCGGAGCTCGCTGACATAGTTGCCTACGTGCTCCTCGGCGTCATAGTCGCCCAGCTCCGCCTGCACGGCGTAGGAACCCAGCAGGGCATGTGTGACAAAGGAGCATGGCAGCCGGCCCGTGATGATGTCCGCCCTCAGCTGCAGGCACAGGTAGTATCTGGAGAGGGGAGAGTGGCCATGGGCACGGGCCCCACTCCCTCCCTAGATGCCACCAGCACCGCTGCCCACCCCCTCATCCATCAGAACCAAACCACCTGACGCCTGGGTGGCTCAGTGGGTCAAGCGGCTGCCTTCGACCCGGGTCATGATCCCAGGGTCCTGGGATCGAGTCCCACATCAGGCTCCTTGCTCAGCAGGGAGCCTGCTTCTCCCTCTCTCTCCTTCTGCTTGTGCTCTGTCAAATAAATAAAATCTTTAAAAAAAAAAAAACCAAACTACCAACACTCAGCTCAGTAGAACAGGAACGTTCCTGACACTGTCATTTCAGGTGTTGATTTGGGTGTGTCCTAGAAGACGGTTTTGTCCCATTCCACGTGCCTTTCAGCATTTTGTTAATTTCTAACTTTGAGGGATTTCTCCTACTGTGGAAACATTTGAAATTTCTAACTCATTTTCAAGCTAAGTAGGACTACTTTGCTGTTAGCCATTTTTTTTAATGTCATGTATTTTTAATCATACAATTAACTATATTCTTATTGTGGAACAAATGGAAACATTTAGAGGTGATTCTAAATTTCCTCTCGACGTCCATTCTCAGCCCTAGTCCCCTCCCCCAGAGGTCACCCCTATTCTCCAGGCGGTGTTTTGACCTTTTTTCCCCCATGATATAGAAATGCATGTGTTTTGATTCATGGGTGTTTTTAACATGCACACAGGATCAAATGGTACATCTTACTCTCCAGCTTGCTTTTTCATGCGCCTAGTGCCCTTCCATATCAGCACTCATTCACTTTAACTTCTGCACCACATTCCACAGTGAGGACAAACCTGGTCACCAGTGTTTCTCAAAACTTTTTAATTTTGCCTCCAGCTCTAAGTGAATTGTCTAAAAACAAATTGCTTTAAAAGAAACATCTCCAGGGGAGCCTGGGTGGCTCAGTCGTTAAGCGTCTGCCTTTGGCTCAGGTCATGATCCCAGGGTCCTGGGATCGAGCCCAGCGTCGGGCTCCCTGCTCAGCAGGAAGCCCGCTTCTCCCTCTCCCACTCCCCCTGTTTGTGTTCCCTCTCTCGCTCTGTCTCTCTCTGTCAAATAAATAAAATCTTAAAAAAAAAAAAAGAAACATCTCCAACCATAAGGATATTATTTTTTATAACTTTATGCACACTTGGATGATTTTATAATTTTTGATCCATTTTAAACCATTTTTTAATTGCTTTTTCGGTTACTGCATTAAAAAAAAAAGTTTCAATTCAGCCTCAGCCAGTGATGCCTCCCTGCCCATTTTGCCATGTTTCACCATTGTTTCCAATTGCCTATTTCTTTTCCTTTTAAGTGCTTTTTACTCAGTATAATTTTTACTACTCCATGACATGAAGCTCTGGCAAAAAGTACGTGCAGCCTCAGTGACTGCTCAGGGCGAAGGCATAGGCTCAGAATCAGTAGCAGCTCAAACATCACAGGCACCAAGTGTAGGCTTAAGGGCATTTTGTTCAAGTCTAAAAATTCGAAAATCACTGCCAAACACCCTGACCAATATTTCATTTCAATCAATTTGTCATTCTGACCAGTTTATTTTGGGCCTGAATATTTTTGACTAAATCAGCTGCTACTACCACCCCATTCCCTGAGGTCATCCATGCTAAGCAGGGCTAATTTCCCTCCTGTGTCCCCAGAAGCCCAATGCCCAGGGTCTAGCACAAAGAGGAAAGATACTAGTGGGTAAGACCAGAGGGACGGGGATTAAGCCAGTCTACAGCTCTCAGCCCTCCTGGAAACGAAGTTGAGACCCTGTTGCTGAATAAGATGACCCTAGGAGTTAGAGCAGGGCTAATGAGGCCAAGGCTTCAGGTCTGATCTATCCCACGGACATCTGTATTATCCCCCAAGGTCAAAGTCGGCATCGTGACTGCGGCCTGTTGCCTGGCAAACAGGCAGCCAACATTCAGGAGGGACCCAACAGGAGAGAGAGAGGCTGGCTTAAGAGCCCCTCCCCTGCTGCAGGAATAACTCCAAGCCCACATCTTATTGTTGGTGGCGTGTAGGGCCCCGCACATGGATGACACGACCCCCGGATATCATGAAGTGAGACTGTCTCTTTGGAAGGGGCTTAGATAAAGAGAAGGGCCTCTCCCTGTTCTGATTCCAGAGGCAGGATGAGCCCCACAGAAGTTCTCATTCTCGAGAATGCTTTGCACCCCTTCCACCCTTCAAGCCACATTATTTACTGGCCCTGAGGCACAATGAGATTGTACACACAATCCATGTTCAGCCCAGCAGCCCAGGCTTGCCTCCATGGGGGGCAAGGGGGTTACGGTCTAATCTGACCCTTACATGCCTGACAGGTACACAGGGCAGCTTGTGGGACCAAATTCCTTCCTGCAAAGGCATCTGTGCTCTACTCCCTCCTTATCCCCTAAGTAAAATGGTGGTCCATTCAGAACGTGACGTGTTTGACTTGTCCCAACCAGAGATGGCCTCCACCATGTTTTTAAAAAGTCTGAATTAGTTGCCAATATTTAAAAATTGTGGATTTTACTCTCAAATCTCTAGCTTTACTTCAACAAGGGGCCCGGTTCCCACAAGGCAGGGATGGCTGGAGCCGAAGAGCAATTGTTTGAGATGGCGCGTGTCCTCTTGAATTTCAATTCCAATCAGTGAAATGGGTCCCGATGCTGCCTGGGACGTCACTGACCGCTGTGTTTGTGCCACCTCCTCTTGCGCTGGGTCAGCTTCCTTTGTCGATGCTGTCTGCCTGGCCTCGCTGGGCATCTGAGTTTGCAACTGCCCTCATGTACTGCCCCGTGCCTACCAGCCCCAGGTGTCCTCATTTCTGGTCACATGGCCAGCACGCCCACGCCCCCTCCACAGCCCTCACCTTGTGATGTCTTCTGTCAGCTGGGCAGGGTCAGGGGGGTAGAACTTGACTGTGAAGGCAAAATTCCAAGGGCTGCCTGAGAGGAGTAAATAGGGGGACAATCAGAGAGGCTCCATCACCCCAGTGGGTGGCCCGGATGCACCATCCCATGGGCAATTCCTCAGGGTTTTCTCGTATCTATAATTCCAGGACAATCCAGTCAGGAAGCCTGAAATATTATTCCCACTTGAAAGATGAGTAGACTGAGGCCCAGGTTGAAAGACTTGTGACATAGCAGCGGGAAGGAAGGTGGAAAGAAAGAAATTCAGTGGTGCATGCCAGCCCTACTGGTCATCACAAACATCACTTCAGTAAACCTTGCAACAACCCTATGAGTAAGTCTGATGATCATCCCCATTTTGCAAATGAGGACACTGAGGCCCAGGCCGTAAAGTGGCCAGACCAAGATCACTGAGCTAGGAAGCAGCAATGCTGGGGTTCAGACCCCAGCCTCCTGGCTCCAGAGCTCGTGCTCCCTCCTCCACACCAAAGTCTATGCCACGGGATGTTCGTGGGAAGAAAACAAGTCACATTAAGTGGGTTCCCTGGGGTGCCTGGGTGACTCAGTCAGTTGAGTGTCTAGCTCTTGGTTTCAGCTCAGGTCATGATCTCGGAGCCCTGGGATTGAGCCCCACGTCAGGCTCCATACTCAGTGGGGAATCTGCTTGAGATTCTCTCTCTCTCCTTCTCTCTCTGCCTCTCCCCCCTCTAAAATAAACAAATAAATCTTAAAATAAATAAATGGGTTCCCTAACTTTGGACTTCTCGGAGCCCCCACCGTGCCATTGCAAACTGCACCCCTCTAAACGGGACATGCAAATATTTAGGGGTTTCCCAAACTTATTTGGCCTGCTGTGTCCATTTCTCATGGGGCATCCTGCCAAATTATGGTTCCTAGGAACACCCTCGGTAAGACTCTGCCCTATGTGGGGTCGACTCCATCTCGGATGGCAGAATGGGGTTATAAGCAAGACCTAAAAGGCAAATGTAATGAGTGGAAAGTAGCAAAGGGCGTTTCACAGGGATACATGTTAACCTCACCCTGAGATACAAACAATCAAGGGTACACATGTAGGTACAGAGAGAAATTAAGGCTGCGGCTTTAGCTGGAAACAAGCTCTGCAGGCCAAGAGAAGGGATGACCACATGAGAGGAGGCCTTGGGGAAAGGCTGCAATCTAGAACAATGGGCAGACCACCCCTGCGGCTCTGCAAGGCCCAGCCTGGGCAGGACCATGGTCACGAAGGGCTGGAGGCCACGCGGTCACTACTGTTCTTGTCCCTCTGGTCATCACCACCTTCCCCATACAGCTGAAGCATCTCCAGCACTTACTAGGTGCTGGTTACTTCACTTGCTAGGGACTTTACGTGCACCTGGAGGAGTCTGATCTTCATGATGATCCTGAGGTAAACCTTTCCTTTTACAGATGAAGATTCTGAGGGGGTAAGTCACCCTCCTGGGATCGCTGAGCTAGTCAGCGGTGGAGAATGGGGATGTAACCTCTAGTCATCTGACCCCAGAACCTGGGCTCCTGACCACAGCTGACTGAAAAGCAGCCTCAAGGAGAACAATCCTTGTCTCAGAAATAATAGTAGTAGCAGTAGTAATAATAATAACAGATAATATGTACCGGGCGCTGCTATGTGCAGGCATCATTCTAGGTGCTGTACACAGAATAGCTCATTTACCCTGCACAACAACCCTAGAGGTAAGTAGTCTTGGAGTCAGGATTCAAATCCAGGCAGTCTGGCTCCCGTGTCTGTCTTTCAACCATCACACCAGACTACCTCAGGAAAGCACCTACCATGTGCCAGGTGCTGTCCATACATAACCGGCACCCTCGCCTTGTGAATCACTAATCTACTTGCCAATGAGAAGCAGGAGCCCAGAGAGGTGCCCCCAGTGCCCTCGGTGATGGGCACTGAGATTTGGGAGAAAACAGACCCAGCTCTGAAGCCCAGGTCACAGGGTGGCGCCTCCTTCAGGAGGCTGAGGGGCTGTCACAAAGAAAGGAGCAAACAATGGTGCGGTGGCCGGCTGGCTCAGTCAGTGAAACATGCGACTCTGGATCTCGGGGCTGTGGGTTTAAGCCCCATGCTGGGTGTAGAAATTACTTAAAAATAAAATCTTAAAAAAAAAATTGTTCCACAGGGGCCCCAGAAGGCAGAACAAAGATGAATGTGTAGAAGTCCCAGGGGTAGGGACGGAGACTCTGGCTCTGCTGAAGGGGGCAGGCCTGCTCCTCCGTGAGTGGAGGTGGCCACAAGCGGCAACCATTCCCCACGCCCGGGCTGTGCTGGCCGGGGCCGCAGAGATGGGGGACCAACTCCCTGCTCTGGGGAAAGATGCTGAGCTCCAAGGATTCTGCTGTCTGCTTCTCCTTCCCAAGCTCCCAGTCCTCCTCAAACTGCACACTCGGCTGCCTGTATGTGTTCCAATTCTTTCAGGCATGAGAGGCGGGCCTCCCAGCTGGGCTGGGACTCCTAGGGACAGCCTGAAGCCCAGGTCTAGGACCCTGTCAGGCCCAGAGGAGTGGGCTCTGTGTGCCTGCCTCTTTGTCTTCAACTGACAGGAGCCTCCAGGAAGAATCCCTCCAGCCTCTCCCGGAGAGTCAGCTAGCATCCCTGGGCCCAGCTGCCTGTTGTCATGGCAACAGGCTCTGCTTTCCAGCCCCAGGGACCAGGGAGTCCAAGCACAGCCAAGGGGGAGGGGCTCCCAGTGGAGGCATGTCTGCTTCTAGGCTCCAGGTCTCCACCCACTATATGCCCCCTGGCTCAGGCCACCTACCTCCCCCCTTCTGCCATTAGAAGGCTGCTCCACCCCTCGCAATATGCCTTTCCTCTCTGGGCCAGAAAGAACAGGTTGTCTCTTCACTCCAGGCCTTGAAAAGAGAGCAGGATGGTGTTGGGAGGCCAGGGCTAAAGATCTGGCTTGGCCAATAGTTCACTCTGTGACTTTAGGTAAGCAACTGCCTCTCTCTGGGCCTACAGTCACCCCATTGTTAAACAGAGAAGATGACCCAGACCAGCACAGGCCTTGCTTTTCCCTAACGTGTTAACTCCTATCCGTGGGCAGTGGTCTGCAGTGCTGTGCGGATGAGGATTCCGAGCTGAGTCAAGGGTCACCCATCACAGAAGTCTACACCCGTTGGACAGGAAGGAGGCTGTCTGCAGGCCATCAATATGTCCCCTTGTCCTAGATGATTCTGCAGGTCCCTTCTAGAGCTGCCATCCTGAATGCATCTATGATTCCTCTGCTAACCTGCTATGTGACTCTAGATGGTCACTTCTCTTGTTCCTACTTTAGGTTTTCATTTAGAAGGCAATGCCCTGCCTTCCCCCAGATCTGCTGTGCAGAGCAAATGAACTCATGGGTCCGAATGCACTTCCCCAAGGAAGAGGGAAGAGCACACCTGGGGCTCCTGCAGCCTGGAGCCCCCACCCTCCCTTCCACAGCATTCCCAACCACAACAGGCCACTCACTCCGGATCTGCTTCTTGATTTCCTTGGAGGGATCCAGCCAGTTCTGAAACAGAAGACAGGGTTCTTTAGAGGGAAGATGGAGGAGAGGGCCAGATAGGGCTACGAGACAGAGACATCCTGAAATAGCCTGTCAACAGCCCCTGGCAGGGAACACCCTTCTCAGGCTGAGCTGTCCGGGCCCTTTGGAGCTGGGAGAGGAGGGACCAAGGCCAAGATTCCCCACAGGGTTTGGGCCCCTGGGTCTGGCGCTGGCACCGCCCTGAGGCAGCGGGATGGGCAGCTGCAGTGGGACCAGTGGGAAGGAGGAAACCCAGACAGGGGCCTCCCGAGGGGTGGAAAAGAGGCGCTGGAGTGAGTATCTCAGTTCCCCCAGGAAGCCAGGCTGTGGCTCTCCAGACACCCATCTGGGGGGTGACTGGCAGGTCGCCAAGAAAGGTCTAGGTGGGAGGGGTAGAGACAGAGAACTGAGACAGATAAGGCTGGCTGAACCTTGGCTATGTGCAAACAGAAGGTGCCTAATGAGGATCTGAGTACCGACAGAAGGCGCAGGATGCAGTCAGGACTAGGAGGGCCTAAGACAAGAGGTCTCCCCGACAGCAGGCCTCCCCTGCCAACCCCTGCCCCCCAGCACAGATACCTTCTGACTGTCGGCGTCACAGAAGGTCAGGCCGAAGTAGTCCTTCTCCAGGAGGTTGAGGTGCTCACAGACCAGGTCAAACAGCACCTGGCCCCGGCCGTGTTTCTGAAGAGGGGAGCAGAGCGGCTGTAAGGCTGGGACACACCTCGGGGGGGGCTCCACTGGGACCACCTGAAACCCCCCAAGAGTCTCCCGGCGTCTAAAGAGGATCTCAGCCCTCCTGCCACCCACCTCGCCCTGCTCTCAGAGCCCTACCAGATCCTAGGTGACACTAATGCCCAGCTCCCCAGCTGCCTTCTGCCAAGTCCTCCTGGGGTCCTCCTAGACCTTAAACCTACTTTGGGGAGGAGGGGTGGGGGGGTGACCGATTCCCCTTCCTTCACAGAGATTAAGAGAAGGAGGTTAACTTTGACCCAAGGAGCAGAAACCCAAAAGTCTAAGCTCGGGTGTAAGAGGGAGAGAAAAGCCACCTGAAAGATGAGGGACGTGGGCAGGCTACAAGGGAAGGGCTCAGGACTCAGTCACAGTGTGACTCTCCTTCCCTGGCCCTCCCCTTACACGAAGTCTGAGTGAAATCCAGGGCAGCCCAGCCCGGAGTGCCACCTCCTATCTGGGCAGCAAGTAAGGTTTTTACTTGCTGGGGCCCAGATCAGCCTCAGCTGGAAGCAACACTGTTAGAGCCACCTTTTCCCACCACTCCCAGACAACCAGGCTCAGTACCTCTCTGAACTACCATGTGGGTCTGAGGATTCGGAAGGACAAAGCCCAGAACCTGGCTGGGTACTCCAAACCCACAGGTGTGAAGATGAGCACCAATAAAGGGACCACAGGCTGGGGGAACATGAAGCAGTCACTGTCCAAAGAGGGTGGGACTCCAGAGAGAGGGTGAGGTTCCTGCAAGGTCTGGGCTCGGTCACCAGGGCCTGGGAACAGGCCTAACTGTGGAGAGCAGCTTTGGGAAGCCAAGGGATTCCTGAGGCTGGAAGAGTCCTTCAGAGAGAATGGACCTGGCCTCAGCCAAACCCTCTACGCTCTCCTGGGACAAGCTGCAACAGCATCCTGGGGCTGGTGTGGGTAGGAGAGAACAGATATCCCTTCCTTTTGCCTAGGAGTAGGCAAGATGTCCACCTTGGAATCGTTCTATAGAAGAAAGACATTAAAAAAACAAAAACAAAACCCAACCCAACCCTGCAGAGAAGAGGGGCCCAACCTGCCAGGGCCCGGAAATAAGTCATATCCCTTAAGACTGGGGTGGGGGGGGGCGGGGGCACCAGGGAGAGAGAGAGGTGGTTCCTGTAACTCTTAGGGAAGGCCACCCTCTGGACCCTTCCATACACATGGAGAGGGCCAGGAATGGTGCCCAGACCAGGGCGGCCCCTCTAAGGGGGTGAGTGAGAGCTCAGGATTAGGGCGGGAGTCCTAGCCTATATAGGAAAGGGAGATAGCAAATGTGGGGCCGGAAGGGCTGACCCGAGACAGGAGGTGTCTGCCCCTGCTACGCACGGTGGGACAGGATCCTGCCATGGGATTTCTATGTGGCCCAGGTGACAGGGTCCTTCCAATGGGCTGCCTCTCTATGCCTGGGGGGGACACCCATACCATGGGTGACCTTGAAGTGAAACCTTCAAGTGACCAGTTTGTCCTGTTGACCTGGACAGGGGCATTCACAAGGGAAGACCCCTCTCTCCGCCCAATAAAAACATAAAAACAATTCTAGTTGAAACACCAGCGTCTGCTAGGTGAGACTGAAGAGCCCAGTCCATAAGGCCTACCGGGCTAGAGATCAGCCCTGAGACGGTGACTCCTTGCCAAGGTACAGCCCCCCCTGAGAAACCTTTTCCTGGCGCCAACCCTGCGCCTCGTCTAATTCCATTTGCAATCGTAACAGCCCCTCCAGGCCTCAGTGCCACCATCTGTACAAAGGAGGGCCAGCCAGGTCATCTCTCCAGGATGCCGCAGTCGGTCCAGGCCTCCATGAAGAATGGACGCTCTCTGGCTTGGCCCAGGCTGAGCGCACAGAGAAGCCTGCCCTGGCGCTGGGGCCAGTCGGCTGGGGACCGGGCCTGTGGTGGGGGGTGCTCCCTACCTCCACCTCACACTCGTACTCAGAGGCATCGAGCAGAGTGACTCGGCAGATGGCACTCTTGTACTTCTTGGCAATCTTCTGGGGTGATTTCTGGGCTCTGCTGGGCGTGGTCCTCTCTGACAGGCCATCAGCCTCCCCATACCCCTTCTCCTCCATGTCTAGGCTCTGTAGGTCCAACAGGGGGAAAAGTCTGGTCAGTGAACTTGAGACCACAGCCTTTCATCCAAATGAAGACCCAGTAAGGATGCAGCAGCTGGGGCTAACATGGTCTCCAAAATGAGAGCCACGGCCCTCCACGACCCCCAGGGTGACCGGCGTCTATGGTTGGTATATACAGGAGGAGAACCAGAGCTTCTGTGTGCAACTGGGTGGGCTCATGGAAGGGGTCACTTCTTCAGGGGGACAGTCTCGGCAGGTAGGAAGCATCCAGAGCTGCCCTAGCTCCCCAAAGTAGCATGTGAGTTCTCAGAGCATCCATCTGGCCTCCCCCTTACCTGTCTGTCACTGGTCTAGCATGAAGCGGAGAGCTGGTGGACTGATCTAATGGAGGGAAGGGAGGTCAGAGCCCTGCCAGCTAGTCCTAACTGCCACCAGTGCCCTTAACGACCTTGGCCAAGTCCCCGCCCTCTCGGCCTGTCCTGAAGGAAGGGAGGTGTGAATTGGACATCTAGATGATTCAGCAAGTCCCTTGTCCCTAATTTAGGGTGATGCATTTTGCTCTGGGGTCATACTAGGTTTGCCAGGCTAGAATGGGCAGGTTCGGGGGATAGGAAAATAAGGTTGAAAGAACCAGGTTTGGGGAATCAGATCTAGATTTTATTTCCATCTGTCACTGGATAGCAATGTGACTTTGGGTAACTCACTTCATCTGCTGAGCCGCTGTTTCCCCAAGTGTAAAATGGGGAAATTAATATCACTCTCGTAGAGGCGCCTGGCTGGCTCAGTCAGCAGAGCATGTGACTCTTGATCTCAGGGTCGTGAGTTCAAGCCCCACGCTGGGCATTGCGCTAACTTAATTAAAAAATGTATATATAACTCTCCGTAGGTTTGGGAGAATTAAATACAAAAGTGACCACAATGCCCCCAGCACAGAGCTCGGCACGTAATGAGTCAGTAATAAATCTCAGTTTCCGGCTTCCGTCCCCGCTAAGAACTGGCCCTGGATGACGGCTGGGCAGGGAGAGGGATGCCCATGCTCTCAGGCACACACCTGTCCAGCAGGCCGAGTGTCCTGCTGGGGCAGGTGCTTCTCATTGGAGTTGGCCTCCAGGTGGCCGCCGTGGCCTGCAGGGGTCACAGGGGTGGTCGCAGCGGCGGCGGCCTCGGGCTGCTGTGGGGCCTCCTCCTGAGCCTTCTTCACCTCAGAATCGGGGCCTGTCTCTGTTGTCATGGTGACCAGCACGCCTGCATTAGCATGAAGGAGAGCACATGACGGGAAAGGGGCAGCGATGATATGACAGGACAGAGCAAAGGGGACAGGAGCCACACGTGGAGAGAGACAGATGGACACAAATGGACAAAGAGCCACGGAGAGAGGAAAGGGGGAGGGAGGGAGGGACAGAGGAAGTGGGGGCGGGGAGAGAGCAGAAGTCAGGGGTTACTGGCGGCAGCCGAAGTCACAGACCCCCTCCCACTCTTGCGACCATAGAACTCTTCAGGGACTCCTCCAGTCTCTCACCCAGGTCTGGAATGGGGACCCTCCTCGGAACAATGAGAATCTCCCCAGGGAGCCCCACTCTGCACAAAGGAGCACAAAGGACAGTCAGTGGCCCCCTCAGGGCAGGCCCTCGGCTGGGCTGTCTCTCCAACCCCAGCACCAGGCACACAGTAGCCGCTCAATAAAACTCTAGACAAACTGAACTCAACCAAAAGAGCCCTGGGCTCCGGGCCCTTCCAGCACTGACTCTGAGCAAGGCTCTTCATGCCCCAACCCTGAACCACTATCTTCACAGGGATGTTGACAGAATGGATCTACAGGGATAAGACAGGAGAGCACTATTAAAAACACGCAGAGCCCTGATGATATAAGCCAGGAGACCTGGACGCGGGCCCCGGGTCTGCCACACACAAGGCAGTCACTTCCCCACACTGGGACTCACCCAAAAAGCATGGGACTTAGAGAAATTATCTCTGGGACAGGCTACTCTTATCCTTTTCCCCTTGGAGCAGGAAATGAGATTTCAGAGAATCAGGGACCTACTGCCCAGCCATTCTGTTGGCATAAGCAAAATGCAAGGAGAGGAAAGGAGGAAGAATGGCATGGCTCCATTTTTATATTAAAAAAAAAAAAAAAACCTCAGCAATACCTCTTTGTGTTCATACATGTGTAGTGAAAGATCTGAAAGGATACTGACCAAACTGCTAAGACAGCTTCATAACTGAAAAATGGATAGAGGAAAAAGAGGGAGGTCCATGGGGTGGGCGAAGAAACGGAACTTCATTTTTTACTTTATATGCTTTGGAATTACTTCTATTACTTTAAATACACATAACTCACAAATTGGGTTTTTTTTAAGGGGGGAGCAAAAGCACCTATTCCTGACCCCAGTCAGAGTGGATCCAAATAAATAAGTAAGTAAGTAAGTAAGTAAATAAGTAAGTAAGTTTGGAGCTAAAACCCGAGGAACAGGGAAATGGGCAGGAACCCCCCCACCCGAGCCCAGAGCCTCCCTCTAAATCCATTATATTAAATGAGAAAGATCCAGGCTAGACCTGGCAGGCCCCTTCCCAACCCCATTCACCACGGGAGGCCTCCAATGAGCAAACAGACAGACGGACACTAGCTCCACCTTGTGCTACACACATGCTCCAAGCCCTTACCCCCCCACTCCCTTGGCCTCCTTCAGTTTCTCTCCCAGCATTCCAGGCGGCACCAGGCCAGCCCCAAGTGAAGGGCACTGGCCAGCAAGCCAAGGACCCTGAGTGCCCCATCAGGCCACACAAGAACTGCAGGGCCCTGAACAGGTCACCCTTTGTAAGCCAGGGCTCGAGGCACAAATGAAAGGGCTTCTTGTCACTGATGCCGCTATTAAGAAGTAAGACGAGGGGTCTCTTGCTGCAGCGACGCAAGTGGGAGCACCAGGCGCCTGGCTCGGAGCGGAACTCCACGGCCAACCGCCTTGCTTTGCCCACTAGGATCGCTTTAAGAAAATGGCAGACAAGCCGGACATGGGGGAAAGCTCCAGCTTCGAAAAGGCCAAGCTGAAGAAAACGGAGATGCAGGAGAAGAACACCCTGCCGACCAAAGAGACCATTGAGCAGGAGAAGCGGAGTGAAATTTCCTAAGAACCTAGAGGATTCCCCACCCCCATCATCTTCGAGACACCCCAGTCGTGATGTGGAGGAAGAAGAGCCACCTGCAAGACGGACACGAGCGACAAGCTGCGCTGTGAACCCGGGCACTCCGTGCCGACGCCACCGGCCTGCGGGTCTCTGAGGGGACCCCCCCCCCAATCGGACTGCCAAATTCTCCGGTTTGCCC